ATGTTGAAGAGAGAGGGGGAAATACATCTGCCACAGAGCAAGAAAAAAAGACGGATAGTATGTCTTACTAGTGATAGAAGTAGCATTAATCAATGTGGTTACAGATTTTCATGTGTTTAGTGGAACTCTGACACTTATTGTCTCACAAAAGTATTTGTACAGGTTTCATTTTGTGGAAAAATAATAATGTGCAAGAAAACAGATGTAAAACTAAAAACAACTAAAGAGAAACCTAAAACCACTGTGTGTTTGAAGAAAATATTTGTGTTTTTGTTGGATTTAAACTCACTATTGGAGGGGCATGAAAATGAACAAACTTTTGCATTTTCCCTACAATCATATTAATGTAGATTTAGATGAGCTGCTGGTGGTAATCCAGTTCATTTGAAAGCTGTGTTGTGTTTCAGTTGCTTGGGAGACACCTGTCAGATCACCTGAAGACCCTGCAGTGTCCTCTCAGTCCGGTCACACCACAGTAGATGTGCAGATGCTGGAAAATTTACCAGGCAGCGTACCAGAGTTAAAGGAGCAGAGGTCACATCTGACTGTTCGCAGCACCCAGGTGGACCAGTATGAAGACAGCATACCAGGTCAGACTGATGGGATCATTCTGATTCACTTTGTCTCCTACCTTTGTTTCCATCCTCTGGATGCTGAGGCAGAACAATAACTGGTGTTTTTCACAGCTGACCAACTTTCTTTGCGATTTCTGACAACATTTCCGTTTTTCTACTAAAAGGTGTTTCTGGGAGGAAAGTCACTGCATGACGACACGCCCACATTCCTGTACAAGGAAACAATGCAGGGAGGGAGGGGAGGGGGCTGTGGGAGGCAGAGAGCCATGAAAGATCCACAAGATCATCTGTCAGATAAATCTGTGAATGAAGCAACAACCAGAAAGAGTACAACAATAAAAGGAGATAATCAGGATCTAATTTTTTTGTTAACTAGAAAGTAAATATTGTTTCAATTTAAATGTAATGTTCAGAAATGTAAACAGTTTAAGCTACATAAATTGATTGTCTACATGAAAATGTAAAATGTGTTTTCAATAAAACGTTAAATGGTTTATGTGTGACATTTTTCCTTCAGATTTTTGGAAAAGCACTGAACAGATTTTATAAAACAATGAACATTTAGAAATTTACTTTCATGCAAAACTAAAAATAAAAAATCCTACATTTAGTTATCTTTGTGTTTAATAGACGTTTATAACACATTTAGATTCAATACAATTTTTCTTAGATAACTTTTATTAACTGGCATTTTATAATGTATGTGAATGTGTTTGAAATGGGTTTTTTTTTGGTGCTAAATAAATAAACTAAATTAAATTTTATTTTATTGATACGTAATTATGGCTATTGTCTTTTAAAGCCAAACTTAATAAGGAATTGAGCACAATTTATGAGAGGATTGGTTTATAAACTATGAGAACAGCTTCAAATTGTAAAGGAATTTGATTTATAAAATATTTGTTGGTTTTTTTACATAAAGTTAGTGGAATGCAGCCACAAAACCTCTTAAAACATACTTTTAGAATCCTTAAAGAAATGTTGATAACCTTGTTTCACAAGGCAGACTGGCTGCTTAGGAGGAAACTAAAATTATATTAGAGGTGCTTTAATTATTATGTTATTATTTGTGCAGTATTCCTCACAAAAATAAAGATGGGGACAATAAAACCTTCTTCAATCACTTCAATAATGAATGAGTAATATGAGTATTAATGTCAGTTTTCATGATCTCTAAAACAAAAACATTTAAATTGAATATTTAGTTTTGTCCTTCCTTTCTTTTTCTCTCATCTCTCGCTCCACCTTTCAAGCTGCTCCTCATCACGAAACTCTGTGGACCAGGAGGTGGGCTGCATTCAGGACCTGGTTCGGCACTGATCGAAGTAAACACAACAGACAAGATGTTGGCCGAGGTGCTTTTAAAAGAATAAACATGAAGATTTGTTATACATAGATTTGTATAGATGGATAAATATGTGTGTCTGTGTTGCATTAAACCAAAATGCTGCTGAATAACTGATAAATTGAAATCAAATAATTCAAATGAATGTTTTATTTTACGTAGAATAACAACAAAATATGAGTTGTCTTAAAAACAACAGGAGACTAACATTTATGAAGTTAGAATAAAAGCTTAACCCTAAAAAACTGTCTAAACATGGTGTTGGAACTCCAACAACACAAGTCATTTTAGGGAATTAGTCTTTTTTTATGTTTACAAGCAAAAACTTAAAGATGCATATTTGGAAAATATATGTTCTATTTTAGTTAAAAATTTAAAATGTGATACTTTCAGTGTGTCAAACTGCAACAAAGCAAAAAAAATCTTATTTGGGAATTATTAAATCATAAAGTAATACGGTAAAGTACAACACCTCTATTGTACATTAGGAAATATATTCTTATTCATAAATATATTAGTAACAGATCAGAAGAGAGGCCATTTGCATTTATGTTTCTGAAAAGTCTTGTAATTTATCACAATATTACATTTTATTCCTGCTCAAAGAAATGTAAATTTTGCACCAAATTAATTAATAAAACGCTCAAATTTTTTCCTTCAGTTATTATATCATATTTTAATTAGTTAATATAAATGTGCTTCTTAAAAAACAAATACATTGATTTTGACACAAATTAGCACACTTTAGTAATTGTGTATACATTTGAGTTGAATTCAAATTTAACATTATAATGTATTTACACATAAATGTGCTCAAGTGCAATTAGTTTAAAGTACATACAAAATATTAATGTCAAAATATAATATCAGAGTACTTGACATGTACTAAATAATATTTATCTTGTAAATTTGCAAAAATGAAAACTCAAACTCTTCAAAGTTTATATTTCCTGTGAAAAGTAAAGGATGAATTTTGGTAGCAGTAATATCAGTATTAGAATAAAGTTTGATAGTAATAAAGGATCTGCATGTTTTTACACAGTTTTATCTGAATCCCAGCTGCCTGAGAGCTTACAGGACGTCAAGGTCTACATCCCCTACGAGTCGGCTGAACTCTGCATCGCTCAGGTTAACATAACATGTTTAACTCCACCGCTGCAGAGTGGAACAAGTTCTAGTTTATAAAACAGTAATGAGTACCAGTCAGCTTTCTAGTATTTAGCAAGTATTCAAACACAATGAAGTCTTGTCTGATTTGTTTTTATTCACTCACATGGCTGCCCTGATGCTGCTGCCTCCGAGGCACTGCATCAGAGCTGTGAGAGGACTTTATAACTGTTCTTTAATGCTGAATATTGACTGCAGATAGTTCAGGACATAGAAGTGATGAAGAAGAAGCATCTGGAAATGGTGCAGGAGATGGAAGAGAACTTTCAGCTCACCGCACAGAAGACTCAGGTAAAACGAGGTGTGAGAGTGTGTGTGTCTGTGTGCACTGTGCTGTAAATGTAACACATATTCTCTGTGTTAACAGAAGTGGCTCGTCCAGAGGGTCAGATCTCATTATCTGAACAAGTTAAACACTGTGAGGAGAATGCTTGATCTCTATCAGGAGAGGGTGGAGAAGAACAAAGCTGACTGGGAGAAGAAAGCTGCAGTCAGTCGCTCATGTTTTATTTATTTGTCCTGCTGGTTGGCCAAACATTTGAATTCATCCATGGCTCTTTTTGCTGCAGGGTTTGGCAGAGCAAAACCAGCAGCTTCTGGAGGAGCGGAGAGCCGAGAGGAGAAAGAACGAAGAGGAGGCCCTGCAGTGGCAGAGAGAAAAGGTTGTGGGGGTGGAACAGTGTGGCAGGATTTTAACCTCTAAACTTGAGCACACTCTTCTGGACACATTTGAGAACAGCAGAACAGTCTGACACTTATTACTGCATCTGTTTTGTTTTTTTCTGTTAGAGCAAAATGCTGGAGCTGTTCTCCAGCAGGATGGATGTCCTGCACTGCCACCAGGCCTCCAGTGAGTCCAGTAGCATTAGTTGGAAGCTGCAATAATCTTTAAAAATCACTTGTTTTGTGTGCGTCACTTTGAACAGCGCTGCAGGAGCTGCAGATGGCCAGACAGGAAATAGGGAAAGTTCAAGAGATGATGGCGTCACAGCAGCAGCAGGAAGCCACAGAGGAAAATGAAAACTCAGATAAAGAAAACATGGCTCAACAGCAAACTATGGTGGGTTGGAAACAGCTAACAACATAACAACCAACGAATCACAGCAACATAACATTTTAATGAAAACATTAAAATAAAATGCAAACGACTGAACAATGAACACTCATCCACCTCTTCAAACCAAATACCACAGCAGGATTATGAGATGTGAATATTTAGCAGCAATGATTATTTTTGTCTCTTTTTTATTTTTGGGGGGGGAGCTGATGCTTTACTTTGGACATGTCCTCAGACCTGCAGTGGCTCAGATCAGCCTCTGGAAGGGGCTAATGCCCGTCTGGAGGAGCTGAAGGAGAACCTGTACCAGAGGGAGAGGGAGATCACTGAGCTGCTGAAGGCAGAGAGGACCCCCGTCCCTCCTGTCCCACAGCCCCCCTGCAGCATTCTGCTGCCTGCTGTCATACACAAGGTGCTGAGGAACGTGCAAAACCAACTGAAAACTACTTCAGTTCAGGAAATCCTGTGTTCTGAAAATTGATTTAAGTCTGTTATTTTGACTCAAAACCATTTTTTTAGGCTCACATAGTTTGTTGTGCAGTGTCTGAGACACAGCGTCTTCTGGACCAAATGATCGAGGACAATCGGGCCGCTCTGGCTGAAGCCAGGGACAAACTGAACCATCTGCAGAATGAGAAACAAAACAGGAATGATGGAGAGGAGAGCAGAGACCAGGACGGGTTAGAGATCATGAAAAGGAATTTGTATAATTAGCTTCATATTTGTTTGAGGCATTACTTTGCAACAAATGCTCATTTTCAATTTGTTTTTGGCGTGAATTATATTGATAATTTGGTCAATGTTAATGTTCTTCACTTCACAGGTCAAATGAGTCAAGTCTAACTTTTCTACAAGAAACTGTGAGGGAGTATGAGGTGTGTCAGATTGCTTTAGACTACATTAAATCCGGAGAAAGTCTTGCAACAAATGGTAAATTCACATTTTTACTCTTCTGAACATTAACCAACCATAAATCATGCACCTTATACAAACTCCATAATACTCAATCTGTTTTTTATGAGAGCTGCACCTTCCATGTCACTGATGTCCTACATTTTCTCTCTTCAGATTGTGAAATCTCAGAGCTGGAGGACGTCCTCGGACAAGAGGCGGTTCAAACGCCAAACAAAGTAAAGGGTGTGGGTCAGCAGCTTCTCCTGCTGCAGGATCAGGTTAGTGTTTCATCAGATGTGAGTTTCATTAAACCCAGAGAGACTGGGATTGAACGATGTGAGCTCTGATATCAACACAAGCAAAAAGCTAAATATTTATTAAATTGTGTGTTTTCTCAAGCTGAAGCAAGAAAAGGATGAGAAAAAGAAAATCATCGAGAACTACACATCAGAAAGAGCAATGAGGAAGAAATATTACAACATGGTGGAAGAAATGAAAGGTGCACAAATGCTTGTTCCAGTTCGGAGCGAGCTAAACTCTTGTCTGATTCACTTTTCTTTTTCCGTTTTGATCTGATCTTCCAGGTAAAATCAGGGTGTTTTGCCGAATTCGTCCGGTGAACCGAAGTGAAGTGGCTCAGGGAGGGGGCGTGGTGGTGGAGAAGTCTGACGATCACTCGGTCAATGTGGAAACCCCTCGAGGGCCCAGAGAGTTTCAGTTTGACAAAGTGTTCAGTGCCGAAAGCACTCAGGAAGATTTGTTTCAGGACACAAACAGGTGAGAGTGATCATGCACTATATTAACAAACACAAACTAAACATTGTCTTAGTGACATTTCAAGGCAGAGTCATGGTTCAGAATAATAATTTATTGAGAAGTTGGCAGTAATTTCAAATTAACAGGTGATTAATTTCTCTTCCAGGTTGATCCAGTTGGTCATCGATGGATACAATGTTTGTATCTTTGCATACGGCCAGACGGGCTCAGGAAAGACCTTCACCATGGTGGGGGACAAGGATCAGAAGAACCCCGGGATCATGCCGAGATCTTTTAACGCCATATTTGATTTAATGCGGGAGAACAGCCCTAGGTTTGACTTCAAGGTAGCATTGCTGCAGAGAAATACTCCCAAATACTCCCTGTATATACAGTGTAAAAATTTAATTCCCTTCTCACCCTCCGCGGGTGGTCTCTTTCATCCTCTGAGCTCGGGTCCTCTACCAGAGGCCTGGGAGCTTGAGGGT